GTGTCAGTCAACAGTAAGTGGATTCAAACATGCTTGGGTCAAACATAGGCAAAACAATCAATGATTTTCTAGTTAAAAAATAAGTTCAATTAAAAAAAATGGCAGACTCAACCAGTTGGCCTTTTTTCTGCTGTAACTCTTCTATGTTTATGTAAAAGAAGCAGCTCATAGATTAAAAGTGCAGATGTATAAAGGCATCTTGCAAATACCTGCAGCAGTTTTTAATCCCCTGCTCTGCCTCAAGCCTCAATGCTGGGCCAAACTGAACAGGAAAGGTGTCCAAACCTGCAAAGCAGGGTAAAGAAACATAGATGTTTAGTAAAAATCACACATTGTAGGGCGCACATTTAACGCCTTCATTATTCAAGATGTTAACCCCTTCCCAGCCAGTGTCATTAGTATAGTGATCTTGTATAGTATTATCACCAATCACCGTATTAGTGTCACTGCAGATGTCAGTGGCAGTTAGTCAGTCCCCCCCCCAGCGTCAGTTAGTGTCAGATTTCTCGCCGCACTATCACAGCCCCATTATAAGTCGCTGATTACCACCATTAGTAATATTAAATAAATAAAAAATCCAGATACACACACATACATACATACACTGCTCGAAAAAATTAAAGGAACACTTTTTAATCAGAGTATAGCATCAAGTCAGTGGAACTCCTGGGATATTGATCTGGTCAGTTAAATAGCAGAGAGGTTGTTAATCAGTTTCAGCTGCTTTTGTGTTAATGAATTTAACAGGTGCACTAGATGGGCAACAATGAGACGACCCCCAAAACAGGAATGGTTTTACAGGTAGAGGCCAATGACATTTTTCGCTACTCATCTTTTCTGACTGCTTTTTTCACTAGTTTTGCATTTGGCTAGGGTCAGTGTCACTACTGGTAGCATGAGGCGATACTTGGACCAAAGGTTGCACAGGCAGTCCAACTCCTCCAGGATGGCACATCAATATGTGCCATTGCCAGGAGGTTTGCTGTGTCTCCCAGCACAGTGTCAAGAGCATGGAGGAGAATCCAGGAGACAGGCAGTTACTCTAGGAGAGCTGGACAGGGCCCTAGAAGGTCCTTAACCCATCAGCAAGATCAGTATCTGCTCCTTTGTGCAACAAGGAACAGGATGAGCACTGCCAGAGGCCTACACAAAATGACCTCCAGCCAGAGGTAATTCAGCAGTGATAACTAATGATGGCTGGGAGAATGCTTACAACGTTCATGACCTTATTATAGGTAATTTTGTTGCAAATTTTTTTTTCTTCATTGCTGTAAACTAGTTTGCTATGCATACTTGGAGTTCAGTCTATAATTTTGTAATGGGATTTATATTGTTTACTAATGTATAGAGGAATTTAATAGAACAACAGCTTTAAAAAAGATGTGGGAGTAGTTCAATAAATAGTTTTTATACATTCACCTGTTCCTTCCTTGTCTCTATGACTAAGCCCCGCTAGGAGGCGTAAGAGAGTATGACAGTTTGTGGACTGCTTTGTCCTCGTGTTATCATATTATTTTTAATAGAGGAGTTTGACCATACTGATTTGTACGCGGTTTACCCTGTGATGCACTGTTCCAAAAACAATGAAAAAAAATTTAAAAACTGTAAAATGTAAAAATATGTAAAACTCCAAAAGGGCTTTTTTATAGGAAATGTATTAAAAATTAATCTTAACCAATTTCACCTACAATATTTATAAACCCCTGACCACATGGAATCCAATTTTTCTTTATTTGCTTCATATTTTCCCCCAAGAAATCACTAGGAAGATTCTCAGTTGGTAATCACTTTTAATTGGACTTGTTCTGTAATTTTGAAGATGGTTTGCTGATTATCCAAGCCACTATACCCCAGCATTTTTCATCAGACTGTCCAATTTAATCTTTTAAAATAGTTTTTACTGCTATCCAGGATTCTGTTAGTGAGATTTCCCCTCACTTCCTGTCCTGTGGATATTTTACCAGACAGAAGTGAGGGAAATTCTTCAACAGTAACAGGCAAAAAAATATTAAATATACACCGATCAGCTATAATATTATAGCCACTAACAGGTAAAGTGAATAACATTAATTATCTTGTTACAACAGCATCTGAAAGTGAATGGGATATGTAGGACAGCAAGTGAACATGTTGTCTCTGAAGCTGATGTGTTGAAAGCAGAAAAAAATGGGCAAGCCCTTGTTAAGGGCCAAATTGTAATGACTAGACAACAGAGTCAGAGCAACTCCAAAACTACAACTCTTGTGGGATGTTCCCAGTCTGTAGTGGTCCAAGGAAAGAAAATCAGCAAACTAGAGACAGGATCATAGGTAACCAAGGCTCATTGATGCCTGTGGGGAGTGAAGGCTGGCCTGTGTAGTCCAATGCAATAGAAGGGCTACTGTAGCTTAGGATGCTGGAAAAGTTAATGCATGCTAGTTCCAATAGAAAGGTGTCAGAAAACACAGTACTTTGCAGTTTGTGTATGGGACTGCATAGCCGCAAACTTGTCAGGGTGCCCATGTTGATCCATGTCCACAGCCATAAGCACCTACAATGGGCATGTGAACATTAGAACTGGACCGCAGGAGCAATGGAAGAAGGTGCAACAAAAATATTGTGAATGGAGAATTCACATGAAAAAGCGGTTATAAAAAAGGACAATGCGATACTCAAATAGTCTTGAAAATATGCTTTATTAGCAAAATTGCACATGAAAGACACTTTAAGTAAGGACTGCAATTAACCATCACCTCAATTAAAGACAATACACAAAACAACCTTAAAACAAAAATAAAATAGAGAGACATTATAGCAGGCCTAAAATCCTGTTATACTATGAGGTCAATGACACACTGGTCTTTTGCACCAGCAGCAAAAACACAACAGGGTGCACCACTGTGGTGGGAAATTGACATTGAAAAATGTAAAATGGCTGTATACCAATCATTAACAATTGCACATATGTAGCTTCAAAAATATGGATATCGGGGGCCCAACTGAATTGCCATCGGAGCTAGACTGGAATGACCATATGGCTGAATATAAATCAAACATGAAAAAAAAGATGGCAATAAGGCATAGGTGTATTCCTGATAAATGAATGCCATGGATCAACAATAAGGACACTGTCCTGATAAATGCTAAAAATAGGCTAGTAACCATCACAGGACAATGGGCATGATGAACAGATCCTTGTAGACACATGGGTCAACAGCAATGTATGAATAAATGGCAGTTAGCTTATAATGGGTATAGAAGGAATGGCTATCCAGAAGTGAAAGTCCATAAGGTAGCCGCCGTGAAGGACTGTGAAAGCAAAGCCCTGCTTGCATGTAATCCAATATAATTCCAGTGATCTGCTAGATATCAGCAGTAATGTGACTCACTAGTGATGAAAATATGATGGAAATATATTTATATATATTTATTTTTAGTAGTGTAGAAGGAGTCTTAATCTTTACCTGTTTATCAAAAAAATAAAATTGTTTCACCTTGACATTCAATTACCATGGAAAATGTGTCAAATTTCTGTAAAAAGCCATCCCTTCCAAAACAGCAATTTGGGTGCTGGTATTTTTGTCCATTATTTATGAAAGTGTCATTTGGACCTTTTAGCCATTCAACTGATGCATAGTAAAATGAAACACTCACAAAATGCTAAAAGCAAGACCTTTTGGAATTTACTCCCCTTCCCTTCACTTAATTAAAAAAAAAAAAAAGTTAAAAGTTAAACATTGATTCAACATGGTTCTGCATTAGGTTTTGTCTTTTGTCTGAAAGTAGGAGTTGAAAGTTAGGAAGCAACAAGACAATTTGGTGCTTTAACTGGATGTGACTTTCATTCAAGTTCATTAACTGAACAGTAGTCATTGTTGAAGCAGTATTTACTTAGTAACTAAGATTAGTGACTGGTGAATTAGTAACTATAGGGATTTCTGATGCCGAGAAAGGTCACCCCACAGGCTTCTCCTTAACGATAGCTGTCCCACCCTATTCTACAGTTTTTGGGTTGTTTTGCATGTTTTCTTGTATATAAACTGTGTATCTTAGCTTTTAATTCTTGCATAAAATTTATAAAAAAAAAAAAAAAAAAAAAACAATAATTGCAGGCTGGTTTTGTAATAGAGTGTTTGCAAAGGGTAATTAGAAAGCTCAGCTGTAATTTCTCACTTTCTGACTGCCTTTGTTTGATTGAAACTTTGTACAGCTTGCTTAGAACTGGAGTGGGGGAAGACTGTGCATCTTGTTAGCACATCATAACTAATTTAATATAGACAATATTTTTTTTTTACATTTCCAGTCTTGAAGATAACACACAAAAACACTATACCCTTCCTTTAAAGGACTGTCATATACTGCGTTACTATTTAAAGGAATTTCATTATATGTGACTGAAGAAGCCAGATTTCACCAGCAGGTGGTGCTGACATAGAATCAGAAATTTCTGATTTTTCAAAAGTGCCAGAATGATTTCAAAGTGTAAAACAGTCGGTATGGTTGAGATTTTAAGTGATGTTAGTTCAAGATAACAAGTTAGATTGTTAGGTAAAAACAGAACAGTAGACAACAGGAAACACTAAAAGACTATATCATATATTTTTTTCCCTTCTGAGTGTATGTTTATTACTGGTATTGAAAGAACCATTTTGATTTAATACTGTTTTGGTAATTTAAGTCTTGGTAAATGTACATCTGTTGCACTTGTTCAAAGTACACATACCTTAAGACTAAAGGTAGTTACATTTAGGTAAAGAAGAGAAACAAATATTTTTTGACTGTTTTTGGCCATACCATTACCACTTTTTTTTTTTTTTTTTTTACAGACTATTATAACATTTTTATTTATTTTACCAGAACTTCCATTATCTGCCAGAAGAGGAGAACAAGGCACACCTGGTGAACCTGGACCAAGAGGACCACCAGGACCTGCTGGACCTCCAGGACAAGGAATGCCAGGAGCAAAAGGAAACCCCGGTCCGCCTGGCCCACCTGGATTTCCAGGTATGGGCAAGCCAGGAATGCCAGGCATGCCAGGAAAACCAGGGGGCATTGGAATAGCAGGTCCAAAGGGAGATCAGGGACCTAAAGGAGAGTATGGACAAATAGGACAGCCCGGACCACAGGGAGCTCCTGGGCCATCAGGTTTATCAGGCATTGGTAAACCAGGTGAACCAGGTTTACCAGGGCTTGCAGGGCCGAAAGGTGAGCCAGGATTTAAAGGACCACCAGGATTTCCCGGAATTGCAGGCCCAAAAGGAGATAAGGGAGTTGGGGTTCCTGGATTACCTGGACTCAAAGGCCCCCCTGGACTGCAAGGACCCCCAGGCCCATCTGGCCTTCCTGGCATTGGTAAACCAGGAATGAATGGCTTCCCTGGACCAAAGGGGCATCAAGGAAACCCTGGGCTACAAGGTCCACCTGGGCAGGAAGGACCAGTTGGTCCACCTGGGCTTCAGGGTCCACCGGGAATTCCGGGTGTTGGAAAACCAGGCCAAGATGGTCTTCCAGGTGAACTTGGATTACCAGGTGTGAAAGGTGACCAAGGACTTCCTGGTTTACCTGGAGCTCCTGGTCTTCCTGGAATTGGTAAGCCAGGTTTTCCTGGGATAAAAGGAGACCGAGGATTTGGTGGGGCACCTGGACCGATGGGACCAAAAGGTGAAAAAGGTCATGTAGGTGAACCAGGTATAGGAGGCCAACCAGGTGAGCCAGGGCCTGCAGGTCTGCCTGGGCCTATGGGACCACCAGGTGTTGCTGGTTTTCCTGGACCCAAAGGAGATCGTGGCAATGGGGGCCCTGATGGACCAACAGGACCAAAAGGTGAACCAGGAATTCAGGGGCTTCCAGGCAAACAAGGATTTCCAGGTGAGGTGGGGCCTCAAGGACTTAGAGGGTTACCAGGACCAATAGGCCCAAAAGGAGAACCTGGACACAAAGGTTTAACTGGACCACCAGGTCAACCTGGATTTCCTGGACCCAAAGGAGAAGCTGGAATGCCTGGTGACCAAGGTGTGCAAGGACCAACTGGAATTCCTGGTCTTGCAGGACCAAGTGGCCCAATTGGACCTCCAGGACTTCCAGGGCCAAAAGGAGAGCCAGGAGCACCTGGGGCACCTGGTCTACCTGGCATGGGGAAGAATGGTATACCAGGAGCCCAGGGTCCTGCAGGACAACCAGGGCCAGTAGGGCCTCCAGGACAACGTGGATTGCCAGGTCCTCCTGGGCCACCGGGTGCACCCGGGCTTCCTGCAGAAATCCCACCCACACCACAAAGCATGGGACAGTATTTACCAAACATGGGGCCTGCAATTGATGGAGTAAAATCCTATCAAGGTTACACAGGAAAGAAGGGAGGCACTGTGCCTATTCACGAAATGCCAGCATTCACAGCTGAACTGACCACTGCCTTCCCTCCAGTAGGAGAACCTATCAAATTTGAAAGACTGCTGTATAATGGTAGACAAGGCTACAATCCACACACTGGCATATTTACTTGTGAAATTCCTGGTATCTACTACTTCTCTTACCATGTCCATTGCAAAGGAGCAAACGTTTGGGTTGCACTCTATAAGAACAATGAACCATTAATGTACACATATGATGAATATAAGAAGGGCTACCTAGACCAAGCTTCAGGCAGTGCAGTGGTCCCACTGATGCTTGGGGATAAAGTATACATTCAAATGCCCTCCGATCAAGCATCTGGACTCTACGCTGGGCAGTATGTCCACTCATCATTCTCCGGATATTTATTATATCCAATGTGAATGGCAATAATGATAAAAACTCTTAAATTAATTTGGCTTTTTACTTTTTTATATCAGTAATAACTGCCTTAAACCCTCTGCTACCAGTGGCAAAAATGTTGCCAAATATGTTCCAAGCCTCTGAGGTGACAACTAACACAGACTGGCAGGTGGACCATCCTTTACCCAGGCTTCATCTTCTATCCTACTATGCACATTATATTCAGAGTGAAGAGTTTTTTGACATTGTGGACTGGTGCTGCCTTCTTTAATAGAAAAGCGTCTTGGCACATATTGCACATGAGGATCCTAGCAGACACCAGTACTAATCCATCAAATCTACAGTTTAAAATTACTCTACATAGAATACAGGGAAAAACAGCAAATGTGAAATGAGGACTTATGTTTGAAACAATTCCCAGACTCAAGAAATTGTCATTAAAGCAGAACTCCAATCATGGCAAACACTATCAATACATTATTCAGATTTTTGTTAAATGCATTTGATATATTTTAATGTGTATTTGAATAGGCCCAGTAATAATATCAGTGCTACAGCTGAGCAGAAAACCTAGTATTTCATTGTTAATATGTCCACTGTTGAATCAAATAACACTGTGTTCAAAGTCTGCGTCTAAAATTCAAACAAGCAAAAGTTGGTGGCAATGACATTAAATGGGGTTTGTTAGAGGCAATAATATTTTTTTTTCTACTAATATATGCAAAAAACACAGGCAGCCAGGTATTAATACAGCATATTTATTACAATGTGTTGTTTTTTGACTGGAGTTCCTCTTTAAAAGGAATCTGTCACAAAGAAATTTTCCCAGGCCTCCGACCCCTGGTGTTCAGATATATCTTCCAAGTCGGTGTCAGTTTGCCTGCATCAGTGACTTTGCTGGTTTTAAAGATGGCCTATTTCTCAAATGCTAAATTTAACTTATGTTGGGATGGTTAAATGTATAGTAAAACAATAAATTATTACATTACTCCAGATCCCGAATACTTGCCTTTCCTTGAAAACTTTCTGCTTCAGGCATCATCCAGTGCTGCGCTCATAATGAAAAGTCTAAGTATTTACCTTGTGTAGAAAGGTAAGATCAGATTTAGTTTTGCTGATCTTCCAGATCTATTTATCAATGTTTTCAACCAAGTTTCACATTAGATTCGATCAGAATGTGGGAAGGTTGTGTAAATCTTGGTAAGTAGACCCCTTCCAATTGACCACATGTCCAGGCTTTTGGTTATGTGACCAACAGAGAAAGTCTGGAGCACAACTTTATCCGGGAAAGGTAGTCCAGCCATTCTGTTCTTAATTGGTCCATCTTGATGAGTATAGGTCTACTTTAAAGCAGTAGGATGAGCTGAACAGCTCTAATATATATTAAAAGAGGGATTAAAGGAAGGTATTTCTCTTAATGAACAATTCATTACTCGCTTTTCTTCAAATGACATACCAAACTCAGAAGTGAGTAAAACATGCACTGATGTTTTTAGAAAGAACAGAAGCTTACGTTATTTTCTTATATTTCCCAGTTATGAAGTTTAAAAAGGAGACATGATCACAATCCTAAAACTTCCAGTCATTTGTGTTATATTGTCAGAATGTAGTAAAGTAAATTGTGCTTTATAAATCCTTTGTTTTCAAATTTACAGAGCTCCTAAAATGCTCACATCCGATAGGACCAATGGAATGGCTAAAATAGATGATCTTTTTCATTTAAAATATATTTTTAGACATAAAATTAAAAAAAAAAAATCAATAAATAAGGCATCCCCTTATGCTTGCTTTCTGTTTCTTGAAAGGTGCACAGGTCAAAAAAAAATGCAGAAAGTCACAGTATTAGAACGGCATGTGAACTCGTGGTAATGTAGCTTATTATTAAGAAAACATTGAGGTGTGGCCCATAACAAGATTCCAGGGTTTTTTTTGGGGGGTCAGAATGGTACTGAAAGTGAGCATCCTACTGCCTGCTTTGGACCACATTGCTATGTTTTTTTCATGCTCAGTTTTTTACACTTCCTAGATGTTAATGTGACATGGGGATCTGCAATGTATGTTTGTACAGAATGTATATGTACTTGTTAAGTAGAATCCTTTTTTTATTAGACCTATGTTACTGTGCTTTATGGACCATTAAACATTCCCAAATATTGAACAATCACTTGCCTATCAGTCTTTGCAAACTATACATCAATCATAGATACCTATATCAGCTTCTGTTTTTTTTCTACTCTGACCCTAAAGCCCAACTCCAGGAACCTTTAAAAATTTCTATAACATCTGTTTAATTGGTGTTTTCTTATTTGATAAGCTGTCCCTACACTTTACTGAGCAGCTTTTGAAAAGTACAAACTGGCCATGCACAGAAAGGTGATAGTGGCAGATTCATGTTTTGCATTCAAAGCACAACAGTGCATTTGCTTTGTGAATGGCAAAGCAAAGGAAGTTAGTGGAGGTAGAACACCAGAATCGGTGAGGGTCATGGACACCTTTTCGGTGAAGCTGGGGACTGATGTTCATTTTTGGCAGCTGCTCAGGGAGTTTAAAAACATATATATTATATGGATACCAGTGCTTTCAGTGCTGTCCACAATTTTTAAAAGTTAATTTTCACAGGAAAAATTCCATGCTGAACTTGTTATATTCTCCCCATGCTCTAACCAGATGATGAATCTAATTAAGCCCTTCAGTCCATACACTTGTGTCTTCTCTTATACGTAGATATCCAATTTGACTCCAACGTGTCTCTCTCCCACCATGTAAAAATATATATATTTTATACAGTATAATCTCCTCTAGTAAATTGACTAATAAACCAAATAATCATACTCACATAAAAATTATACTACTGTGCCAAACCTATCTCCACCACATGAAAAAACTCTGGTGTCCACCACCTCTACTCTTACCATCATCCAAACAATTCTTACATTTATGCATATTATCCTTTCTGTTCTCTGTTGATCTCTTCACTGCCCAAAAAGAAAAATTGTTGATCTACTTACCGAATGAATTTGTGCCCAAAAGTACCCTCAAAACTACTCACCCTTCAGTGTAGTCACCTTACCAATATCACATAAAAAGTAAGTGCCTCTACATAAACACCACACCACATTATATTTGTGATTCATTCAGCCCATGTAATGTGTACCCTTACAACCCTGGTGCGCAATCAAAAAGAGAAACTGTCCTCACCCTTCAGATCATGCACCTTACCAAATTCACATAAAACCTAGTATGTAGGAACTCCAAGGACGGCTCTCTTTAACCCAACACCATCTCACGTCCGCAATGTCGCAAAATACTCAGAAGCCATGTGAAATCAAATAGAATAAAACATAGTGCAGCAGTATCTAAAAATAGAACTATTTGCTAAAAAAAAGCTGCTTACAATGTGAAGATGAAGCTAGCAACAGCAAATCAACAAGAGAATATTAAAACAGGAGTTCTAGAATTTTTTACGTGTTTAAAAAAAATGAAAAAAACACCATGCATCAAGTTGGGCTTTAAGGGACTCTTAACTTCATATCCTATTTTGTTTTTAAATTGTATAATGTAATTATTACGAGTGGGAACTGCAATAGTCTAATCATTTATAAATATTAACAATTGATACTTTGGTTTTCCAAAAACACCTGTATTTCCTGTAAGAACTGAATTGATAGTCTCGTTAAGTGTATTGATCTTCTGGGATACAAGATCCTGGAAGCTTGGGGTGATAGAGCCATGCATGGCAGTCTCATTATCACTGCCCCAGCAGTACCAGGAAAACTAGAAGGCAACCAAAACTTTTACAACGAGACTTCTCAAAAATGGCTTCTGAACTCCATGATTGCTGACATTTTAGCATTGCTGCCCTCTCCGTAAAGATACTTGTTGCCTTCTTGTTATTGTAACATGTTCCCTAGAGACTTTGTTAGTCAAGTATGCAAATCAGAGAAGTTAGAGGTCCTTATCAGCATACTTTTTTAAGTCAGGAACTCCAGTTAGTGAAGAATACAGCCAGGATGTCCTACGTTTTAGCAAAGTGCCTTTAAAGGTTACCGCAATCCTTGAGCCTTGGATCCATGTGAAATCACTGGATTGTCATGTACTTCTGGGTACAGTCTTTGTCAAGGACACAAGACACAGACAATTCTAAAGTTAACCTGGTCCATAAAACACAGTACTGGTTTTACGTAAAGAATAAATTCACTTATGTAACATTTTAAATAGCAATATAAGTTAGAAGTAAAGTGCACTGTTCAGGAGATTTGCCAAGGTAAGGAGTGTGTGATCATTTTCTGTACTACTTTGTATGTACTGTGTATGCTGCAAATATATATTTTTTTCACATGGTAAGATTTTAGAGAAATGCTATAGAAATGCTGCTAGCAAGACATCACTAACCTCCTATAGACAATGAGCATTCAACATGATCACTATGCTACCCCACTCATCATATACAGTTGTGACCAAAATTATTCAACCCCCACTGAAATTGAGTGTTTTGGCCAGTTTGACATTGCTTTTGATCATTCAGTCATCTTGCTTACATTTACATTAAAGAGGCACTTGTAGGTCAGACAAATATAACATAACAGTTATAATGAAATAACCACAAATGTCTTTTCTGTGCTCACAGCATTATCAGTTTTATTCAACCCCCAAGTGACATTCAATCTTTAGTACTTAGTACAGCATCCTTTTACAGTTATAACAGCTTTTAAACGTGAAGCATAGCTTGACACAAGTGTCTTGCAGCGATCTACGGGTATCTTCGCCCATTCTTCATGGGCAAAGGCCTCCAGTTCAGTCACATTCTTAGGCTTGCGCACTGCAACTGCTTTCTTTAAGTCCCACCAGAGGTTCTCAATCGGATTTAAGTCTGGTGACTGCGATGGCCACTCCAAAATGTTCCAGCCTTTCCTCTGCAACCATGCTCTAGTGGACTTGGAGGTATGCTTGGGATCATTGTCCTGTTGAAAGGTCCAACGTCTCCCAAGCCTCAGGTGTGTGACGGACTGCATCACGTTTCCATCCAATATCTCCTGGTACTGAAGAGAATTCATGGTACCTTGCACACGCTGAAGCTTCCCTGTACCTGCAGAAGCAAAACAGCCCCAAAGCATGATTGACCCTCCACCATGCTTCACAGTAGGCAAGGTGTTCTTTTCATCATAGGCCTTGTTCTTCCTCCTCCAAACATAGCGTTGATCCATGGGCCCAAACAGTTCTAATTTTTTTCATCAGTCCACAGAACACTATCCCACAACTTTTGTGGTTTGTCCACATGGCTTTTGGCATACTGCAGTCGACTCTTCTTATTCTTTGGAGACAGCAAGGGGGTACGCCTGGGAGTTCTGGCACGGAGGCCTTCATTACGCAGTGTGCGTCTTATTGTCTGGCTGAAACTTCTGTACCCACATCTGACAAATCTTTTCTCAGTTCCTCAGCAGTCACACGGGGACTTCTCTCCACTCTACGCTTCAGGTAGCGCACAGCAGTCGAAGTCAGCATCTTCTTTCTGCCACGAAGGTAGCGTTTCAACAGTGCCCTTTGCCTTGAATTTGCGAATGATGCTTCCTAAGGTGTCTCTTGGTATGTTTAACATCTTTGCAATCTTCTTATAGCCATTGCCCTTCCTGTGAAGAGAAATCACCTCTTCTCTTGTCTTCCTGGACCATTCTCTTGCCTTCACCATGTTTGACCACACCAGTAAATGTCTAGAAGGAGCTGAGTATCACAGTCATTTTAAAGCTGCCTAATTGGTGCTTATTATGCTTGATTGCTGCTCGGTGACATCCACAGGTGTTTTCAATACCTGATGGAAAGCACCTGTATGAACCTCTGTTCTTCAGAGTGGTAGTCTTTAAGGGGTTTGAATAATTGTGGCAATGAAGAAACCACATAAGAACCATTTACTACTGTATTACATAAACAATTGATGTCATTTTAGTTGCATTTGGGTAGTTACAACGTCCTTGTAGGATTTGATTCTGAATACAATTCCAAATGTACACTATAGTCCCTAAACCCCTTTACAGCATTGGGGGTTGAATAATTTTGGTCACAACTGTACTTTGCAATAGACAAACATAAAGAGAAAACATTTGTTTAAACGTGGTTTTAATACTCACCTTATCTATAGAACATTCAAACAGTTCTTTATTTGGAACACACTACATTACAAAAGCTTACAAACAAAAAAAAAAACAAAGGAAAACGAAAAACCTAAAAAAAAAAATGCAGATATTTTTACTTATGCTTTAATATATAAAAATACAGATGTGTTTTCAAGTTAATGATACAAGGCTCTAATTTTACATCTGATAGGCTAGAATGTTTTCAAAATATATATTTACATAACCCCAGTTGGTTTCCTACTATGACCATATCTGAGCAAATATTACAGTAAATTATTTTTTGTTTAAAAAAAAAATGGAAAAAAAAATCACTCAAGTCACATTTGCCTCAACAGACTTCCTCAAGAAATGCACAGAAGACTGTTAAATACTGTACGTTGAAAATGGTGCTAAACTTATAAAGTGAAATATGTTTAACTTAATGTAAAGATAAAAATCAATTTTTTTTTGTTCCTTAAAATGTTGTTTTCTTGTGGGATCGGAGGCAATACAAATCTACACTGATATATATGTGAGCGTGATAGATACTGCTGTTTATTTCAGTGTGGAGTTAGCCTGCAATGTTTTCAGGAGAGAATGTTTTCAATGTAGAAGATGCAAAAACGAAACTGTTTCTAAAGAATGTTGGTGAACAATAAAGATTTTCCCCTTGAATACTGGTGGTGGCTTATTGACTTGCAACGTTAAAATTTGTAGGTTTATAAGGGAACCTATGGTGTAATGCAGGGGTCCTCAAACTTTTTAAACAGGGGGTCAGTTCACTGTCCCTCAGACTGTTGGAGGGCCGGACTATAGTTTAAAAAAAAAAACAAAAAAAAACTATGAACAAATGTGGACACAGTACAGGAGATGACCAGAGACTGCGGACATACAACGGTGGCGGGAATACTGGGCCGGCCGCTCCATAAGATGCACAGACATTTCCCCCCAAGTGTGTTTTATGGAGCGAAATAGTGCCCCATCATTGGTGTCAGTGGGAAGAATCGTGCCCCATCATTAGTGTCAGTGGGAGGAATAGTGCCCCATCATTGTTGTCATTGGGAAGAAACGTGCCCCATCATTGGTGTCAGTGGGAAGAATCGTGCCCCATCATTGGTGTCAGTGGGAAGAATCGTGCCCCATCATTGGTGTCAGTGGGAGGAATAGTGCCCCATCATTGGTGTCAGTGGGAGGAATAGTGCCCCATCATTGGTGTCAGTGGGAGGAATAGTGCCCCGTCATTGGTGTCAGGGGGGTAGGAATAGTGCTCCATCATTGGTGTCAGTGGGGGGAGGAATAGTGCTCCATCATTAGTGTCAGTGGGGGGAGGAATAGTGCTCCATTGTTGGTGTCAGTGGGGGGAGGAATAGTGCCCCATCGTTGGTGTCAGTGTGTGTGGGGATGGAATAGTGCCCCATCGTTGGTGTCAGTGTGTGTGTGGGGGGGTAAATAGTGCCCCGTCAGTGGGGGAAGGGGATAGTGTCCCAACATTGGTGTCAGTGGGAGGAATAGTGTTCCATCGTTGGTGTCAGTGGGGGGTGGAATAGTGCCCCATCATTGGTGTCAGTGGGGGGAGGAATAGTGCCCCATCATTGGTGTCAGTGGGAGGAATAGTGCCCCATCATTGGTGTCAGTGGGAGGAATAATGCCCCATCATTAGTATCAGTGACACCAATGATGGGGCACTATTCCTCCCACTGACACCAATGACACTTAACTTGCTGACCCCTGTTCTAGCATGGTGCTTCTGCAGCCAGCATACCTGGTTGCAGCAGCAGCACCATCTGCACGGCACACTTACCTGTCAGCTGTCTTTCTTGACTCGGCCTATTCCACACTCGATGTTCGCGGGGCTTCGCCTCCTCGCAGGTGATTGGCCGCCTGTGTGCCTTTACTGAGCTACCGTTCTGGCGCTCAATCACCGGTGAGGAGGCGGAGCCGAGCGGCAGCGCGAACATCGAGTGAGGGAGTGGCCGGAGTGAATGAAGGAGCAGCGCTTCCTGGACTGGATCGTCGTGGGACTGGGACACGGAGCAGCAGCTCCCTGCCCGCCCCTGTACTTAGTGTCCCTTCCTCACGGCAAATACGCCCCTGCCGGCGGACCAGATAAATGTCCTCGGCGGGCCACATGTGGCCCGCGGGCCGTAGTTTGAGGACCCCTGGTGTAATGCATACACATTTCAGGTGAAGTGTTTTCCTTATATCCAACTAATTCAATAAGGATCTTCACTGAACAAGTGGTGAGGTAACAGGATACAGCACCATAAGATGATCAAATCACTCAGTCTTAACTATGAATATCAGAAAGCCTTTACAAATATCCCTGTCCAATCAAACTTGGAAAAAGAGAAATTAGATGTATTCTTTTTTTTTATAAATGCAAGCATTTATGGAACTCCAAACGTACACAATCGCAGCATAGGCCAGTAGTCCTTACCTTAAAGGGTAACTCAACTTCCACAAGAAAAAAACGTATTACACAAGCCATGTTGTAATTTAGTTTCAATATTTTTTTATTAATAGGAGAGAAAAAGGAGATACACTTGTGAATTAGTATATAGTAAAATACCATAGTGTAGGTACAGCATTACCACTTGAACAACACAATCAAACATGCACAAGAGCAGTACAAAACATATAAGAAAGCACAATTTTTTTGGCCATGATGTAACTGAATGTTATTAAAAAATATATTTCCTTTTCAATCAGCAGCACTGCAATTTCAGGTAAATTTCTTTCTCTGACAAAGCTGGTGTAAATAACATCCCCAGAAATATCACTTTCTGTTTGTGTGACTGGCTCACAGATTTTCCCAGAAATCTGCATTAAGATACAAGTCACAGTTTAGGCAACCTCTGAAACAAAAATTCATATTTGGTGAGATACTCCCAAAAAGGGTTGCAGACCCTGCAACTTTCCTCTCTAGAACACTGCACATGCATCAGCTGATTAAATAATAAAAAGTAATTCCCATTCATATTCACATTCTATAAATAAACAGCTATTTTTTCTCTTTTTACAATGGATTTTATTATAGACAACACAACAACAAAGAAACAGTCAAAAGCAAGATCACTGACACAAAAGAATAAGGTATACAATTCTTCTGATGAGGGACATAACAAATGCACTGAAGTATTGACACAGAGAGAAACTGAGTACATAAACACAATACATTATAGGATGGAATAAAACCCTATAAATTGCGTTGACAGCAAATAAGTAATGGCCAATGTGCTAGTAGGCAAAGGCCAAAGATAATCATCAAAAATCACATACAGAGGGTAGGAAAAGCAGAGCACAGAGCCTCAGTAGATGCACATCAGTACTCTACACCAAGGACTCTCAAGAAAGTCCGACAGGTATATAAAACATTGCAGGTACGATTCTCTAGGCGTATTACAATCAGTGCAAATAGCATGAAGACTAACAAAAACAGAGGAGAGAAAGAAAAAAAATAGCAAAGAAGGAAGAAACAAGGATAGTAATGACAAAAAACGGGCTCCAGGGGGATCGCGCTAGGAAAGTTTTATATTGACAGAAGGGTCTGGTCAAATTTAGACGGTTGAGCCACATCAATCCAGGGGCACCAGATCTGCAAAAACTTTGGGTGGGTGTCTAACAGCATGGCCGTTAGCTTCTCATTAACCATTATAAAATTTATCCGGTTCTTAATGGCCGCAAAGCCAAGAAGAGGGGTTTTTCCAAGCTCTCGCGATCATTAATTTGGTAGTCATAAATAGATGAGATGCCAGCTGCCGCTCAGGACGCAATAGGCCTACGAATGGTTTAAATAACCAGCGCCTCATATGGGTTGCGCTTGATATCTGTGTTTAGCATAGACCCTAATCCATAGTCTACACACCTTGAGGCAAGTCCACCAAATACGAGCCATGGTGCCTATTTGTTGACAACCCCGAAAGCAAGTCAGAGAATATGAGGGGATAAAACAAGCCAGCTGGGCAGGTGTATAATACCATCTGTAAAGGATCTTGTAGGCATTTGCTAAAATAACATCCCTTGAACATTTAGACAACGCTTGAGCCATCATCCACCAGTCTTGCTGATCTAGACAACCCCCGAGTTCCGATTGCCACTGCTGATAATAAGAGTGAATCGGGGGTGTCCTATAAGAAATAATAGAGAGAGAGAGATCAAGCCTGGTGCATGAGGCCTGCAGAGACTTTCGAAGGGAGTCAGCCTATAGGGTCCCGAATGGGCTTGTAATAATGTATTAAGAAAGTGACAGAGTTGAAGGTAGCCAAAATGCTCCCTCAACAGGATGTCATAAGAAGAACGCAGAGTCTCAAAAGTAAGTATCCGAGTAGGAGAGAGCAAGGAGTGCACATCATAGAAGCCATGAGCCGGCCACCATGCAAACTGTCCAGGTGTGTCAAGAAAACAATGGATTGTAGAGTAGACGTATCAAAGGTAAGTGAGCAGAAATGAGACCACCGGAATATTTAATGGAGTCCCAAAGTCGAAGCGTGTGCGCTAATGTCGGACTAAGAGGCGAAGGGTGACAAACGGGGAAGCCACGGCAAAGAAGAAAGTGGTGTCGGGTGGGAGTCCATCAGATCCACAGTAGCCCACAGGGGAATATTGCAAGACGTGTGAAGATGGGCTAGTGGAGCAATATTCACCGCTAGGTAGTAAGCATGAAGATTAGAGACAGACAGTCCATCCTCGGTCCTACAGGCAAATATAATTCTTTTATTAATTCTAGGACATGTGGAGCCCCAGATAAAAGATAGAAGTTTCCGTTGATGAATGCGTAATATATGCAAAGGGACCGGTAAAACCCGAAACACATAATTTAGGGAGTTAAGTCATATTGATTGCATTAATTCTGCCAAACCACGAAAGCGGGAGATGAGCCCAAGACAACATCTCCATCAAATCCTTAAAGACAGAAGGGAAATTAGCCTGATAAAGTCCTTCGTAAGACGGGGTGAGCTTAATCCCCAAATATGGCAAGGCTGAAAGCCATTGAAAAGAAAACAAAATGTTTCAGAGCTGCCAGCAGCGATGGAAAAAGGGTAATAGACATGACTTTAGATTTAGCGGGGTTGACATGAAGGCCTGAAAGAACAGCGAAGGAGTCCAGATGAGAACTGCCAATAGGTTGGGCAGAGCAATCCCCGAAATCGTAACCGACAACAATATATCGTCCGCAAACAACAACTTATGCTGAAAACCAGCTACATCTAGCCCTTTAATATCAGGATGCATACGGTAAGCTAGTGCCAGGGGTTCAAAAGCCAAAATGAATAATATGGGAGAGAGCGGGAAACCCTGTCTAGTTCCCCTATCAATTGAAAACGTTGCGGACTCAAAACCATAGTATTTAAGTTTTTCTTGAGGGCATGTATATAGCGATGAAATCCAATGCAAGAACGAAGGACCAAAACCAAAATGGTGAAAGACCGACATGAGGTAAGGCCAGGATAAGGTATCAAAGGCCTTATTAACGTCCAAGGATAAGAGCATCAGTTCAATTTTGCGGATGTGAACCTGATGTAGCTGTAAAATTCGTCTGATTGCGTCCCCTGCTTGCCTATGTTGGACAAAGCACACCTGATCTTTTTTGATCAGACGAGAAAGAAAAGAGATCAAATGAGTAGCTAAAATTTTTGTAAGGATTTTCATATTGATGTTGATAAGAGAGATTGGCCTATAATTCGCCCAAGAGGAATGTCCCAGTCCGGTTTTGGAATCATAAACACATTAGCAGTCAGCAAGTGGGGGGAAAAGGCTGAACCTCCTTTCACCGCATTAAACATGGTTGCGAGGTGAGGGACTAGAACATCAGCCAGTTTCTTATAATACAAAGCCGTGCAGCCATCGGGGCCTTGACGTTTGCTTGTCTTCAAATCGGCGATACAACGCAAGACCTCGATCCTCCGGATCCTTGTATGGGGCTCCAGCTGGCCTGAATCACCCCTCTGGTCAACAGGCGCAGCCCGCGGGGGTCCCCAATGTCAGCGGGGCCAAAGTGCTGGCCGCTGGGCCTGGGTATTGCGCAGGCAGAGTCCGGGCCTGGTGTAGGCTGTGATGGGTCTTGTAGGCTGCGATCCGCAGAGACCGGTCCCCCCCAGTAATCAGTGGCTGACATCCACAGAGGTCTCTCAAGTCAGTGGGACCCAGCTATGTCCAGGATGTACATGGATTATTATAAGAGGCGGTAGAGCTCACCCCCTATGCGACCGCTCCCGCCGCCATCTTGGACACCGAAAGAAACAGCTATTTTTTTCAGAGCAGAAACAGGTAGAAATCTGCAGTTTGTTAAAATTCCTGCAATGTACATTGATCACTCAGAAGATTGTTTTTTTTTTCTCTTACTCTAAACATCATAAAATATTATTTCCACCTTTGCAGCTAATATGTTTGTTCCAATCACACAGCATACCCAAAAATAATGTAAAAAAAATATTTAACTATTCCATTGGCCAAATGTTAAAATCAAACCAAAAAGCATACAGTACAGCATCAGCCTACAGTTCCAAGCAAAAAATGGATGGGGGAAATCAGTTTATGTACAGAGAAAGTCCATAATGTAGAACACAGCCTCTCTGGAATGATCAACACTTGTATAAAAATAGGACAGGAGTGAG